TGCAACACCTGCTTTTTTATGCTTTCCGTTTGCCTGGAATATAGATGACCATCCCTTCACCCTGACTCTATATTTATCTTTTAAGGTAAGATGAGATTCTTCTACACAGCAGACATCTGACCTGAGTTTTTGTGTCCAGTCAGCCAGACTGTGCCTCTTTAGAGGGCAATTTAAGCCATTCACGTTGATTGACAATATTGATAAGCCTGGAATAATTTTGGGTATCCAGTTTTTCGAAAGTCCAGTGGACATCTTTAATCTTTTTACCACTGTGGAAGCTGGAATTTGATCAAAAGTTTCTGAGTGAGTTTACTTTTGTGATAGAGGATTGCACTGGTCATTATGGAGGATAGATCTGAGAATTTCCTGGAAAGCAGGTTTAGTTATGGCAAATTTCTTCAACATGTGAATGTCATTAAAGTATTTAATTTCTCCATCATAGATGAAACTCAGTTTAGCTGGATACAGGATCCTGGGTTGAAAGTTGTTTTGTTTCAGGAGATTTAAAGCCAATGACCATCCTCTTCTAGCCTGAAACGTTTCAGCAGAGAGATCTGCAGTCATTCTAATATTCTTCCCCTTGTAGGTTATGGTTTTCTTACATCTGGCTGCTTTTAGAATTTTCTCTTTCATATTAACTTTAGTGAAGTTAATTATGATGTGCCTAGGGGATCATCAGGTTGAGTCATGCTGGGGTTCTGAAACTGTCTGCTATCTGAATTTCAGAATCTCTTGGCATATCTGAAAAGTTCTCTTGCATAATTTCATGAAGAAGAGCCCCTGTGTTTTGTGAAGCAACTTCATCACCTTCAGGGATTCCTATAAGGCAAATATTAGTTTTCTTTGAATTATCCAGGAGATCTCTGAGAGAATGATCTGTTTTTGCTTGCCATTTCTCTTCCTCTTTGAGTGCTTGGGTACATTCAAAAGCTTTATCTTCAATGTCAGAGACCTTTTCTTTTGCCTACTCCATTCTGTTAGCAAGGGATTCTATGGTATTTTTCAGATCTTTGAGGGCTGCAAACTCTTGCCTCAATGTATCCAAATCTTTGGTCATTTTATCTTTGAAATCATTGAATTCTTGAGACATATTTTGAACAATCTGAAATTCTGATTCCCTCTTTTCCTCTATTCTGTTGATTTTATTTTCTATCCAGACTCTGAACTCAATTTCTAACATCTCAGCCTTCTGTTTATGGATGGGGTCTTCAGTTGCATCTGCCATGTCCTTCCTTGGGGAGGTGGTGATCTACTCTGGTTATTCATGTTGCTGGAGTTTCTCCACTGATTCTACCCCATGCTTAATTTATACCATTTGGCTTTTCTCCTAGAGCTTTGCCAAGGACTCGTACAGTGCTACGGCCTGAGTAACTGGGGGCCTCCTTGGTTTGGTGGGGCTAAGTCACTCTGTCTTATTTTCACTTGGTCTCTGTTCTAGCCTAGTAAATCAGTTACCCTGGGTTGAAGTCTCAGCTGTGGGGAAATACCAGCAAATTAAGTCATCCTGCCCCCTACAAACAACAATTGAAAAATGAAAATCACACCTTCCCACAACCACACATCCAGGATACCACTTTGGATAGTCCTCGGGTGATTGGCCCAGTCCAAGAGGTCCAAACCAATTGTCCAAGTCAGCACTGGTCTCAGGTGGGGGAGTTCAAAAGGTCTCTGGCAACTAGATAGCAGGGAGTCTGCTGGCAGCTCAGGTATGACTGCCTCCGGTGCTCTGAGGTCAGAAGGACCAACCCAGCAAATTAGTCTGGGCAGGTTGATGCCTCCTTCCCCACCTTGCACCTCTGTCACACCCAGTCACTGGTAACGCCAGTGGGGCTGGGGCTGTGACTCAGTTCACCACAATGAGCAGATGCCCCAGGGGTTTATACCTGCCTGAGTCAGAGAGAAATCTATGTCTCCTCAGCCAGGTCTCTATTCTTGGCTACTATCTGGCAGGAGGAGGTGAGGCCTGACAACCTCGGGTGCTTAATGGAGGTGGGGCAGTTCACTCAGTTCCAGCCCCGCCCCTGATTGATGTTGCTGGCAGAACAGCATAACTTCACAGAGTTTGTTTCTGTCCTGGTTGTCAGACGCTGCTGGAGGTGACAGAAACCATGACTCAGTTACAGGCAGTGGCAAGCACACACTGAGCTCACACTGAGCTGTCAGTTTCTGCTTCTGCCTGCCCTCCTTTGTCTCAGCTATGATCCCCTGGGGGTCAGGTGTGTGAGACCCTCCCTGGAAGTCTGCTGTCTCTACACATGTGTATTCTAGTCCCCATGCTCCTTTACTCACATCCCATCCACCAGTAGCCGCCACCAGAGAAGGTGCCTGGCTTCTTCTAGTTGCCCAGAGATGCAAGGCGTGTCTGTCCAGGATAGCCACCCAGGGGCATGAGCCTTATTGTTCCCGCAGCTGCTGTTGTTCTACACCTGGGGGCACCACCACAGCTCCTGTATGGTTCCCTCTCAGCTGACCAACCTCTCCTTAGTCCTGTACCACAGAATCAGCACAGCTGAGCCAGAGACCTTCCCCTGTCCACACCTCTCAAGAAAATACCCAAGAATCTGAACTGCATGGGGGACAGGCTTCCAGAACTAGGGGTGAGAGTGGAGGGGAGTGCTGGGAGTTCAGAGTTGCAGATAGAGAATATGTATAGTTCTATACAGTTTTATGCCTGGCAGGAGAGTGCTATGGCACCCTAGTACAGGTAGGAGGTCCAGTTTTTAGAAGGTCTCTCCTGTGTGATGAAATGGGAGGACATTTGGACTCTGCTCGCTTGTTTGTATGGAGTTTACTGCGAGCCCTTCTCATGGGGGAGGGGATTCCTGTCCACTTGATGATGGATTCAGTACCTTTTGTTTGTATCTTTGGTGTTGCAGCTCACCTCAGCAAGGTTGATATGTGTTCTTCAACCTTCTCTCTTGGCTCAGCTCCAAACCATCAGCTTACTTGCTAAACTTCTGTCTTTTAACTCTCCTTCTGGACGGGAGCCTCTGTGGAAAACTGGCTACAGTCCACCATCTTACCTCTGCTCCTCAAAATCTTGGCCTGCCTCAA